CTCTGGATGGCATTCCTTCCCTCCAGGGTATCAACCGAACCACGCAGCTCGGTGTCATCGGCAAACTTGCTGAGGGCACACTCAATCCCACTGTCCATGTCAGTGACAAAGATGTTGAACAAGACCGGTCCCAACCCCGATCCCTGAGGGACCCCACTCGTTACTGGTCTCCAGCCGGACATTGAGCCGTTGACCACAACTCTTTGTGTGCGGCCATCCAGCCAGTTCTTTATCCACCGAGTGGTCCATCCATCAAATTGATGTCTCTCCAATTCAGAGACAAGAATGTTGTGTGGGACAGTGTCGAACGCTTTGCACAAGTCCAGGTAGATGCCATCAACTGCTCTACCCCTGTCCATCAGTTCTGTAGCCCCATCACAGAAGGCCACCAAGTTGGTCAGGCAGGATTTCCCCTCAGTGAAGCCATGCTGGCTGTCACCAAGCACCTTGTTGATTTTCATGTGCCTTAGCATGCCTTCCAGGAGAATCTGCTCCAAGATGTTGCCAGGCACAGAGGTGAGACTGACTGCTCTGTAATTCCCCAGGTCATCCATTTTCCCCTTCTGGAAAATGGGGGTTATATTTCCCTTTTTCCAGTCATTGGGAACTTCACCTGACTGCCATGATCTTTCAACTACGATGGACAGTGGCTCAGCAACTTCATTTGCCAGCTCCTTCAGGACCCGCAGATGGATTTCATCAGGACCCATGGACTTGCGCACGTTCAGGTTCTCAAGATGGTCTCGAACCAGATCCTCTCCTACAGGGGGCACAAGGTCTTTGTTCTCACAGTCCCTGTGTCTGCCTTCCAAGACTTGGGTGGTTTGGTCAGAGCCTTTGCCAGTGAAGACCGAGGCAAAGAAGTCATTCAGAACCTCAGACTTCTCCAAATCCAGGGCAGCCAGTTCTGAGAGCTTCCAGAGGGGGCCTATGTTGTCCCTAGTCTGTCTTTACTCACAATGTACCTATAGAATCCCTTCCTGTTATCCTTAATATCCCTAGTCAGGTTTAATTCTAACTGGGCCTTTGCTTTCCTAAACTGGTCCCTAGCATCCCAGACAACATCCCTGTACTCTTCCCAGGCCGCCTGTTCCTGCTTCCACCTTTTATAAGCCTCTTTTTTCCCTCTAAGCTTCCTCAGCAGCTCCTTATCCATCCAAGGAGGTCTCCTGGCCCTCCGCTGCACTTCCTTCTAGTTGGGACACAACACTCCTGAGCTTGGAGCAGGTGATCCTTGAATATCATCCAACAGTCTTGGGCCCCCCTGCCCTCTAGGGCTGTATCCCATGGAACCTTACTGAGCAGGTTCCTGAAGAGGCCAAAGTCTGCTCTCTTGAAGTCCAGGGCAGTGAGCTTGCTGCACACTCTTCTCACTGTCCTGAGGATCTCGAGCTCGACCATCTCATGATGGCTGCATCCAAGGCTGCTCTGGAGAGTCACATTTGCAATGAGCCCTTCCCTGTTGGTGAGCACGAGGTCAAGCATGGCACCTCTCCTTGTCGGCTCCTCTGTTACTTGCAGAAGGAAGTTGTCTTCCACACAATTGAGGAACCTCCTGGATTGCTTGTGCCGGGCCGTACCGTCCTTCCAACAGATGTCAGGGTGGTTGAAGTCCCCCATGAGGACAAGGGCCTGTGAGCGTGAGGCTGTTGCTATCTGCCTATGGAGTGCTTCCTCCACAGATTCCTCTTGGTCAGGCGCTCTGTAACAGATCCCCACAGTAATGTCTCCCATCGCTGTTCTCCCTTTAACCCTGACCCACAAACTCTCTGTTGACTGCTCACCTGTCCCCAGACAGAGTTCCATACTCTCCAGCCTGTCCCCAACATAAAGGGCAACTCCCCCTCCCTGCCTGCCAGGCCTGTCTTTTCTGAAGAGCCTGTAACCTTCCATTCCAACACTCCAGTCATAGGAGCCATCCCACCACGTTTCTGTGATGCCCATTACATCATACCCCCGTAGACGTGCACTCATCTCTAATTCCTCGTTTGCTCCCCATGCTATGGGTGTTTGTATAGAGGCATCTGAGCCGAGCTCCAACTGAAGCTGGCTCATTGGCTGGAGCGGCTGGGATATCTCTACATTGCCCCGAGCATTTATTATAGGTGCTGGCAGCTGACTGGGAGTGCTGGGATGGAATGATGCCCCCCTCCCCAACACACCTAGCTTAAAGCATCCTTGACCAGCCTGGCAAGACTGCTACAAAAACCGCTCTTCCCCCTGGACCAGCTCCGCCAGCCCCCAGTAGACCTGGCCTCCCAGATTGAATCCTGTGTTCTAAATACCCAAACCCTTGACTGCGGCAACACCATTCTAACCATTTGTTAACCTGCCCAATCCTCCTAGCCTTTTTAAGGACAGTCTGAGGTCCAGAGCCCCTAACCACCTCTCCCAGGGCGCTGTAGTCCTTCTTTATGTTCTTCAGGCTACTGCTGTCTGCATCACTAGCACCCACAGGGATGACTAGAAGTGGGTAACAGCATGTCAGGAGGGCCCTTAAAAAAAAAAAAACAATATTCATTCCTTTAAGCTTGCCAGTGACTGGAAATTAAGTCACCAAGAGAAAGTGGAGAAAAGGACCAAAGGTTTAAGCCTCAGCTGACTTTCATATCAATGTCTGAGACTAGAAAATCAGGCAAGAAACAGTTTAGATATGCCAGGTGAGGAGGAAAGGTTTCATTCCTCCTTCAGTTTCTAGGGTAAACTGTATTTCTATTTTTCTAACAAACATTACAGTTTAACCAGTCACCCAGATCTCCACAGAAACCTGCCAGAAAGCACTACAGAGGTCTTTGCTCCACTGGCCATAGTGCCTGGCAACCAAAACTCCAAACTCTGAGCCCCAACAGGTGAGGCCAGGAGGATAATTGGACTTCTCTCACCCTGACCCTTATCTCTGGTGAGATACAAGCTAGACTTACGATGTCAAATTGTTGATTAAAGTGCTCCTTTCATTATGAGCTACTCCAAGGAGACACTTCTGAACTGATACAGAGCCAGGAGGGAACCTTAACATGGAACAACACAACATTATAGGGAAGACTACGCCTGGTATTTGCTTGGAGTCTTCACACCTTCCTCTCCAAACACTTCACTGAGCATCCACCCGCCAGCCCAAGCTCCATGTATGGTGTGTGGTGTAGAGCTTCATTGGGTATGCAGCAAAAGGAGCAAAGAACCAATCTCAGTTTGAAAACCCCACGGTGTTTTCCTCCTGACCTCAGTGCTCATGAGGACACAGCATCAGGTCCTTATCAGGAACATTCCCTCTGAGGTTCAGTTACCGTTTGGTCCAGCTGCACTGCCTCCTCTCCATTCCTCTGCCTGTCGCCTTCAGCCTCTTCAGTTAGAGCCCTGTTGCTGTTCCCTTCTGCTGCATCCTGTGTGCCAAGCCAGGTGTCCACTTGCTCCTCGCTAGACGGCGGCTCATCCTCTGACTCCTCAGCGGTGATCTGCACACAGAGATAAATAAGCTGCAGAACCAGCCAGCATGGGGCTGTGCTCTGTCCTGTCCTGAGCCCAGGGAGCAGAATTCCCCAGGGATCCAGTCTGCTCCTCTCCCATCTGCAAACAGAGGAGAGAAATGCTGCAGAAGCAGCACAGGGCTCAGCTGCCTGAGCAGCTTCTCCAGCAGATGGACAAGGATGACCCCTTATTTCACATGTGTCACCCAGGAGGTGCCTGAACAGCCCTGCACCCACTGACTGGCTGCAAGGGAGCACAAGGCCACAACACCACATCTATGGCACGGCCCTGTTTGGGCTCTAACGTGCAACGAGCTTGTGCTCACACACCCAACCCCTGGGGAAGGAGAGTGGACAGCAGAACCATCCAAGAAGTGACCAGAACCCATCACCCCAAGGTCCCATCTGTTCCATCAAGGTCCCTGGCCTCCAGCACCGAGACCTAGCGACACTGGAAAGGCGGCAGAGACATCCTAAACCCAGTTTCACCCACTGCTTGACCACCCCAGCACATCCCATCCTGGTCCCCCCAACCCCTTCACAGACCTTCCTGTTCACTCTCGGTTACTGCCCCTTGAGCCCTCCCTTCACCCCCACATCACCCACGCCTCTCCTCTCCCGCTCCCCAGCCCCCCTGAGTCACCCCCAGCCACGCACCACCGGAACCCCTCCCTCCCACCCCAGCCACTGACCCCATATCCCCCCCCTCCCAAAACGTCCCCTCCGTGTCACCCCCCTGGCACTGCCACCCCTCTCGGTCACAGCCCCAGCTCACCCCCTCACACCTCCCCGGGCTGCTGCCACCTCACGCAGGCCCCGTCCCCCCCGGCCGCCCCACAGGCCCCAACCCTCGTCCCGAGCGCTGCCAGCCCTCACCAGCTCGAAGCGGTTGCTGCCACCGCTGCGGGCGGACCCGTGGCGTCCCCTGGGAGGGGCGGCGGCTGTCGGGGGCCCATCGCAGCCAAGCTCAAAGCCCAGCTCGCCCAGGCCCGGCTCCTCCTGGCCCCGCTGCTCCCCTCGCAACCTCCTCAAGGCCCTCCGCGACATGGAGCCCTGCCCGCACTGCGCCTGCGCGCACCCGCCCCGCAACACTGCACGTGCGCGCCCCGCCGCCGGCACGCCCCCTCCCGCCCCGCGCAGGCGCACCGCGAGAAATGTGCCGCGGGCTGGGGGCGTGGCAATGTGCGCATGCCCACGGGTCCCCGGCGGGGTCGTGGCGGGGTCACAGCATGGGGGCGACCCCAGGGCAGGCTCTGGGGGGCTCAGGGGGCACGGGGGGCAGGCTGGGGTGTCCCGGGCACACAGGGGGCAGGCGGGGGTGTCCCGGGCACACAGGGGTCAGGGGGCCAGTTTCAGGGCATGGGATGTTCTCATGGGATCACGAGTGGAGCACAGCCTGGGACACGTAAAGGGAGGATGGTCGGGGTGGATACACGTGATCAAGCAGTCCACGGTGGTGTGGGACACCCAGCACCCCCCACCCCAGCTTCTTCACCCACCCAGGACCCGAGTTAGGACCAGCCACGCAGCCCCAGGGGCAGCCTAGCAGGTTTATTAGCCGGGGTGGGCACATACAGAGCATCCGTGCCAGCCCCCCGGCACTGGCTGCCCCGGCACAGCCAGGGCTTGGCACAGAAGCAGGGATGGGGGGAGGTGGATGTTGAGGGTAATGGGCAATGGAGGGTGCCCCGCGGCAGGACCTATCCCCACAGTAGCCATTGCAGCGTCCTGCCGGTGGCGGGGATATGAGAGGACAGGGGGGACAGCAGGCGGCTATCATGTCACTGTGCCTCGCCTCCCCCTGGTCCATAAGGTATATAAATATAGAGGCTGTACGTATATGTCCTATGTATATATGTACATCTGGGTGGCCGCCAGTGGGATCTGCGCCCCTCACTTGTGCCAGGAGTCACAGTAGAGGGAGCGAGCCTTGGCGCGGCGTGGTGCGGCGTTGAGGACAGCCACGCTGCGGCGGCTGGAGCAGATGACGTCGGTGACGAAGCCAGCGCAGTCACTGCAGACGTCGCGCAGGACCGAGCCCTGGGCATAGATGTGGGGGAATTCCTCTTCTACCCGGCGCCAGCACGTGCCCGAGAGGGAGCTGTGGAACAGGGCACATGGTCAGCCACAGCCCGAGGTGGAGGAGGAGAGGGGAGGAAGGCTTAGGGCTGCAGGACTCACTGGAAGGTCTCTCTCCTCCGCAGCGGCAGGGCTTTGGCCAGCAGCGAGCCTGGGAGGCTCTCAAAGCCCAGCGCGTAGACAGGGATATGAGCCAGCTTCTTGGAGGGCATCTTCATCTGCCGGGTGTGTAAGGGTCAGGGTGGGATGGGGATGGGGTAGGGGCAGGACAGGGACAGGGACATGGTGGCATCCTTACCTTCAGGCTGCAGGAGCTGCAGACAGAGCTGGGGACACAGAAAGAGGTCGGTGAGTGGGGCCATGACAGGCACCCTCCTGGCACGCTCCCAGCCCCATGGCGTGGTGTGGTGCTTACCGCTTGCAGAAGAGGCATGCTGCAGGCCAGGAGAAGAGGGGGAACTTGGTCCTACAGCAGCAGCAGACCTGTGGGCAAAGCAGGGTGAGAGCTGGGGGCCGGGCGGGCAGCACTCAGCCCCTCCAGCCCCAGGTCCCACCTTCCCCTTCCGCAGGCTGCTGTACAGCTCCTTGCTCTGCAGGAACTTCTCCATCTCAGCCTTGACCAGCACCCTGCGCACGTTGATCATCTCCTCCACGGTGAGGGCCAGGCTCTCCACGGGGTGGCTGAACTCCTGTGGGTGAGGGGGAATGTCAGCCTGGTCTGCTGCAAGGCCGTGGCACAGGGCATGGCCTGGAGCATCCCTGTGCCATGGGCAGAGCATCCCAGCATAGGCACAGGTCATAGTGTGCTTCTAGATGCAGATCCCATGAACCACCCTGTGCCTTCATGCTGGGCTGCTGTGGACCCATAGTCATGCTCACACAGTGTCCCAGCCCCACGCCAGCACTCACCAGCCAGAGGTGCTTGGAGCTGGTGCTAGGAGCAGTAGTGGATCCATCCTCTGGCCTCTCCTCCACGGCACCGAGAGCAGTCCGGGGTGGTGCTGAGCTGTCCGGCAGTGGGTGGCAGCTAGCGGGGACAGAGCCTGTGGGGAGAGATGGGGACGTCATAGCACTGCCACGCTGCCCAGTGCCACCTCTGCCACAGGGCACCCATGGCCACCCTGGGGATGGGGTTGGTGTGGTGCTGGGGGACCCCTGGTGGGTACCTGAGCGGGGCCGGGGCTCGGGCTGCAGCGGCTCTGGCTCTTGGGGTGCAGGCTGGCCAACCCCCATCTGGCTCTGCAGCTGTGCCAGGTCGTGCTCTGAGAAGGAGCGGTCCCGCTTCAGAGGCACCTCTGTGCCTGGAGAGTCCTCCTCCTGCAAGGTCACCACATCACCCCGGGGAACCCCTTGTCCCCTCAGAACCTCCTGTGTCCCCCCGACCTCCATCCTCCTGCCAGGTCTCCTCTCTTGCCTCGGAGATGTTCATCTCCTCCATCTCGGCCAGGGTGGGTGCCTTGAGCAGGACACGGGGCCGTGGGCACACCGGCGCGGCACTCACTGGGCACCGGGACAGCTCGAGGCAGGAGCTGGAGGCCAGGCGGCCTGAGCAGGCATGAGGGATGCAGGGGAGGGAGCTGTAGCCTGTGATGGGGATGGAGCTCAGTCACAGAAGAACAGGGACCTGCCCTGGTGGTGGGCACATCACTGGCAGCCCCATATGGCAGGGGGTGGTTCTGGCACCTTTCTGTCCACGGTATGGCATCTCCACAGGCCGAAGCTTCCTCTCCTGCCTGATCTCCTCCAGGATCTTCTCGTGGAGTGTCCTCTGCTTCTGGGGCAGCGGTCGCAGCCGACGCTCTGACGCCTGCGGGACACAGAGATAGGACCTCAAGCAGTGGCTGCAGCTTGGGTGCTGACCTGCACTCAGGGTGAGGATGGCACCCATGAGACCCACCAACCCCAGGCCAGGCACTGCCATGCCACGGAGGTGTCCTGGTGTTGGCACTCACCTGCTTTAGTGGGGGCCGGGAGCGGATGAAGTCAAGGATGAGCTCATGGGCATCCTTCTTCACCCGGGGAGGGATGTCTCCATCCACCTGGGAGAGAGGGCAGAGGGGCCATGGGCAGTGTCAGTGCCAAGGCCAGCACAGTGACAGGACAGGGAACTGACACGGGCCAGCCTGGCCACACTCACCATGACCTTGCGGAGCTTGTAGTTGCGGGCACGGATGTCCTGCATGAGCATCTCAAAGGGGGTGAGCTGGTACTCGGTGGGCAGGGGGTTGAACTGCTTCTCCTGCACCTTCTTCAGCTTCACACCGTGCCGCAGCTCCCGCATCAGCTGTACCCACAGCCGGGCCTGGGGGGGTTTGGACACGGTGTAAGCCCCAGCACAGTCCTGGCACAGCCCTGGCGCCCAGCCACGCCGCCGTACCCAGTCGGTGTTGCGCAGGCTGCCCAGCTCTGCCACCGGCCGTTCCTCCGCTTCCTCGTCCTCCTTCAGCTTCTGCAGCATCTGCCACCACACAAGACATCATCACTTGCCCTGGTGGCACCAAGGGTCCAGCCAGGACCATGCCACAGGGCCGCAGCACTCATGTGCACCCCTAAGCACCACAATCCCCGCTACAATCCAGCCCTGCCAGCACCCACCACGGCAGGTTGGAGCTGGCAGTGCCACAGTACAGTGCCTTGGGAGAGAGTGTATTGCCAAATGGTCAGGGTGGGCAGAGGGCTGTGCCGCGCTCACCCCAGTGATTTGGGCCTATGGATGGTTTCCTGGCCAGGCAGTGGGGCTGGCCATGCCGGTGGGCACCCACACTCACCTCCTTGGCATCGCGGATCTTGGCAAGGAAGGCTTTCAGCTCCACGGTCTCGGCAAAGAGAGCACGGCAGACAGCCTGGTAGTGTGCCTGCGCCTCAGCGGGGTCAGCCAGGCGCGCGGCACAGCACCGCATGGCTTGCCCGAAGGTGCGCACGGCGCGCAGCGGCCCCTCGCCCCCCTCCTCCTCCTCCTCCTGCCCCCCATAGCCCTCGTCGGCTGTGCCGCAGCCGCTGTCCTCCGAGTCGCTGTTGGTCATCAGGTCGATGAGCTGCTCCAGCCGCGGGCTCAGCTCACGCTCCTCGTTCTCGTCCAGCCCCCAGTCCAGCGCACGGTAGATGGCGAAGCCCAACGACTGCACCATCTGAGGGGAGACAGCACTGGCTGCACCGTGGGGAGCCCCTCAGCACACATGGCCAGCACCAGCTGCCCCCCTAGCCATTGGTGCTGGGTCTCACCCCCCTGCTGCACCCCATGTCCAGAACCACATACCTGGGCTTCAGCAGAGGGTGTAAGCAGCAGGGGCAGCTCTGTGGGGAGGAAGAGAGTCACCACTGGTACCTGCAGCCCCATCACCATTACCTCCTGTCCCACAGCCCAGGGATGCTGCACCCACCGAGCCCCAGGCACAGGGTACTGTGGGACTACCCTGAGTGGGTCCCAGCACCATCAACTGCTGCCCCAAGCTGGGACTTGCAACCCCAGTTTGTCCCATCCTGACCTGGTCTCAGCACACAGCTCCACAGGACAATGGGGACCTGTGTGCCGAGCCCAAACAGGCACCAGCCACTTGGCCCTGCTGCCTCTGGCTGAACCCAGGACGCACATGGTAGGGGCAGAGTCACCCCCTTACCCCTCATTCCTGGGGCTGGAGAGAGCTGAGAGCTATGCACTCACACGGAAATGCCCCCTGCACCCCTCTGGGCTGCGGGCACCAGCAGTGTGGGCACCATCAGGCAGGGATGCAGATCACAGACAGGACATGGCCCTTGTGCCCAGTGTGGGATGCGGTGACAGGCCGTGCCCAATAAACAACGCTGCTCTCCACTGCAGAGCCAGCAGTGCTGGAACATCATGCACAGACTCACAGAGCTCTGTGCCCACACATGCACAAGCCCAGCTTGTGGGCAGCTCACACCCTCCCAGCAGCCGTGGCCATGGGAAGAGGAGCAGGACTGGCTTTTGCAGCGTCCCCGAGGTCCGTGCCCCAGGGCCCCTGGCTCTGCTTTCCCAACAGCAGCAGCAGAGCTGCTTCCCCGGCCCAGGGGAGCGATGGCCATTAGCTCTCCATTTAGCTCATCAATGCGGCAGCAAGCGGCAGCTGTGAGGATGTGCCGGCCGTGTGCCAGCCAGGCCGGGTGCTGCTTGGGAAGGGCAGTTGGAACAGTGTAGGCACAGGGTCCAGCTCCACCATGGGGCCACACATGAGCCTAACATCACCCCTGTGCCCCATGGCCGTGCCTGGCTCCTGCTGCTGTGCCAACGCTGGGATGTCCTGCCCTGGCTGAGGGAGGATGTAGCAGTACATCCCCTGGGACACTGATATCTGGACCCAGAGCCTGGCTGGAGTCCCCTCCTGCTTGCCATGGCTCAGCAAACATGTTGAGTGCCACGCTGATGGGCTAAGCTCCCTCCAGCTGCTTGGGCAGGGAGTTCCTATGGGTGGACAGTTGGATCAGCTTAAGCAGGTGCTGCTGGTTTACCCAGACCAGATCCAGCCCTGTGCTCAGGTGGAGGTGCTGAGCCATGGGCCAGGCAAGTGACACCACAAGCAGTGGTACTGGGAGGCATCCAGAGACCTTCCAGCTCTGGGCTTTGTTGTGAGGGGTACACGCTGATTCCTGGGGAGATGGCTCTGTTGCCATGGGAGGGACTTGGGAGCAGGGCTGGCACAGTGGCGCTGGCTTGGTGGCTCAGAGAGCCATGTGCAACTGGTGGAGCTGGTGTGACCACACCATGCCCAGCCACCACGGGCACATACCATACCTGTGTGTGGCCCTGCCCTGGGCATGGAGCTGCCCCACACACCCAGGCCCCTATGGACTGCCCCTGCCCTGCTCCCCATCTCCCAACTCCATGCTCATCTTCCTGCCTGGAGGAGCATCCCCTGCCCGGCCATGGGCAAGGACAAGCAGTGACACCGCAGCATCCCTGCCTGTTCATGAGCCCCCAGGAAGCCCCGCAGCGTCCGGCAGTGCTGAGCACCGGACACCGTCACTGGGCACAACGGCCTCCCCGCGGGGCGAGACACCTGAAGCCGTGTGCCGCGCTCTGTCATTAGGCGCAGGGGTGCCCTCGCTGCACTGAGCACCCGGCATCGCTGCTGGCAGCCGGCCGAGCTTAATTACAGCCTGTAACCACCACAGCCCTGCCCAGCAGTACCAACCGCCCGCAGAGAGGGCACGGCCGTGGGTCCGAAGGTCAGGGACGGTGCTGGTGCTGCCCCACGAGGCTGCTCCCGGGTCGCCGGGGGAGAGCGAGGGCCGGGTGGGAGCCCCGCGGTGAGACACTGAGCTGAGGACCGGGTCCCCTGCGGGCTCCGAGTGTTCAGGCGTGCGCGGTGGGTGTGCTGTGTACAGGTGTGTGTGTAGGTGTGTGTCCCCGGGTCTGTCCTTGCCATGTGTCCTGCCTACCCTGGCTCGGCGTCCTGCAGCCCCACGGCTGGTCTGGCCCGGTGAGCCCTGCACCCATGGGCACCCTGTGCATCCCACGCTCCGGGTCCTGCCTCACCGGCTCACCCAGACGGGCCCTGCCGGTGCTAGTGCCGACGACACCGCCGAGTCACCGGCCACCACCCGCGCCCATACCCGCAGTACCAGTGCCGGTGCAGATGTCGTTCCCCCTTGCCTGACCAGAGCTGGGGCTTCACCCCCGTCCCTGCCAGTGCCGTCTTCCTGCTCCCCGGTGCCTTCCAGTCTCTCCGGCGCTGCACCCCGGCAGCCGGTGCCCCAGACACGCACCGGTTCCCTGTTGCCGCCGGTGCCTGCTGCCCCCCTCCTTGCCGGTGCCGCTTCCCCCGTCGTTCCCCCGCTGCCGGTACCGCTCCCTCCCGCCGCGGGGAGCCGCTGTGGGTGTCGTCCCCCCCCCCCCACTTCCCGCCGGTATCCCGCTTCTCCCCGGCGCTGCCGGCGCGGTACAGCACCCCCTGCCGGTGCCGGTAAGTCCCGGTAGCCCCACCCCGCGTTGCGGCGGTCGCTCTGCTCACCGGGCGGCGGCGCGGGAAGGACGACGGAGCCGTCTCCTTGGAGGCGGATGTCGGCGGTGCGGAGCGGCGCGGCGGGGGGAGCGGCGGCGGCGGCGCGGCAGCTCTGGAAGCAGAGCGCCCAGGCCTGCTCCTCGTTCAGCGGCTGCTCGTAGCACTTCAGCACCTCCTCCAGGGACAGCTCCCGCGGTGCCCCGCCGCCCGCGCGCGCCATGGCCCCATCCCCGCGCGCCGCCGCCGCCGCTGCTGCCGCCGCCGCCGCCACCGCCGCACGGGCGGGCGGGGCCCCGGGAGGGGCGGGAGCGGGGATGGGGGGGGGGGGGGCGCGGCGGAGCGGAGACGAGCGGAGAGGTTGGCGGCGGAGAGGACCGCCCCCAGCGACCCAGGCTCGGCCCCGCCTGCGGCACCGCCCGCCGCCGACGGCCGCTCCGGGAGAAACTGTGCGGGTCGGTACAGATTGGTACAGCACGGTGTGGGGTCGGTACAGCTTGGTACGGCACGGTGCGGGTCAGCACAGCTTGGTACGGCACGGTGCGGGTCGGTACAGCTTGGTACGGCACGGTGCGGGTCAGCACAGCTTGGTACGGCACGGTGCGGGTCGGTACAGCTTGGTACGGCACGGTGCGGGTCAGCACAGATTGGTACGGCACGGTGCGGGTCGGTACAGCTTGGTACAGCACGGTGCGGGTCGGTACAGCTTGGTACAGCACGGTGCGGGTTCGCACAGATTGGTACGGCACGGTGTGGGTCAGTACAGCTTGGTACGGCACGGTGCAGGTTGGTACAGCTTGGTACGGCACGGTGCGGGTCGGTACAGATTGGTACGGCACGGTGCGGGTCGGTACAGCTTGATATGGCACGGTGCGGGTCGGTACAGCTTGGTATAGCATGGTGCAGCTTGGTACAGCTTGGTGCGGCACGGTGCAGGTTGGTACAGCTTGGTGTGGCATGGTGCGGGTTGGTACAGCTTGGTATAGCAGTGCGGGTCAGTACAGCTTGGTATAGCATGGTGTGGGTTGGTACAGCTTGGTGTGGCATGGTGCGGGTTGGTACAGCTTGGTATGGCACGGTGCGGGTCGGTACAGCTTGGTGTGGCATGGTGCGGGTTGGTACAGCTTGGTATAGCAGTGCGGGTCAGTACAGCTTGGTATGGCACGGTGTGGGTCGGTACAGTTTGGTATAGCACGGTGTGGGTTGGTACAGCTTGGTATAGCACGGTGTGGGTCAGTACAGTTTGGTATAGCACGGTGTGGGTTGGTACAGCTTGGTGCGGCACAGTGTGGGTCGGTACAGCTTGGTATAGCACGGTGTGGGTCGGTACAGCTTGGTATAGCACGGTGTGGGTCGGTACAGCTTGGTGCAGCACGGTGCGGGTTCGTACAGATTGGTGCGGCACGGTGCAGGTCAGTACAGCTTGGTATGGCATGGTGCAGGTCAGTACAGCTTCATATAGCAAGGTGCAGGTTGGTACAGCTTGGTATAGCAGTGTGGGTCAGTACAGCTTGGTATAGCACGGTGTGGGTCGGTACAGCTCGGTGCAGCACTCTGCGGGTTGGTACAGATTGGTGCGGCACGGTGTGGGTCGGTAGAGCTTGGTATGGCATGCTGTGGGTCGGTACAGCTTGGTACGGCACGGTGCTGCTCGGTACAGCTTGTTACAGCACAGTGCAGCTTGGTACAGGACAGTGCAACTCGGTATGGGCTCGTGCAGCTCGGTGCTGCATGGTATGGCTTGGGATGGCACAATAAGGGTCAGTACAGCTCGGTACGGCTCGGTAGGGTATGGTAAGGCTCAGTACAGCTTGCTACAGCATGGTAAAGTTCAGTCCAGCTCAGTACAGCACAGTAAGCCTTGGTATGGCACGGTAAGGCTCAGTACAGCACAGTACAACATGGTAAGGCTCAGTACGATACAGTGCAACTCAGTACAGCCTGCCCAAGCTGCCAGGATGGAGAATCGGGGTGCAGGGTGTCTAGTGTAGTGCGTGTAATGGGTTGCAGGGTGCAGGACTGGGTACAAGGTTCAGAACGTGGGTGCCCCCAGGGTGCAGGGCATATGATGGGGTTCAGGTGCAGGACATGGGTGCCCCCGGGGCATGGGGTGCAGGGCATAAGACATGGGTGCTCCCAGGGCACAGGGTGCAGGATGTGGGTACCCCCAGGGCATGGGCAGGATGAGTGCTGGGGGTGAGGTGTAGGGCACCACTGGTGAACACCCCACCATAGGGGATGTGGTGGCCATGACACATAGATAGCCATGGGGCATGGCTCACCCCCAGCACCTGAGTTCCCAGTGGCTGTCCAACAAAGCCTACGTGCCTGGTGGGCAGGCACAGATAAAATGGGAGCTGAAAGGTCAGACAGAGCAAATTAAAGTTCTTGTGATGATGAGCTTCCCATTTCCATGATGGAAGGCGCATAAAACCCTGTCTCAGCTACATTAATCCATGAGCATGAACACCAGAGCCTTGCTGGCATGGCTGGGAGAGGGACAGAGCTGACACATGAGTGCCAGCTTTCCCACACGGCTGAAAAGCTGCCCTGGGGATGGAGTCCTCCAGCAAAGAGTCAGTCCCTGCAACACCAAGGAAGGGAAATGCCCTCCAGTGCTCTTCCCAGAGAACCTGAGCACTGTCAGCTCCATCTTTGGGGAAGAGAATGGGAGAACAGGGTTGGACAGCTGGGAAATGGAGCCCTGTGTGGTGTTTTGGGGTTTGGGAAGGGGGAGGAGGGATACAAGTGATCCAAACTGGCCATGCATCTCTGGGATTGCTCAAGCACGCCATCACTGGGGTAAGAACACATTGCAGGGGTCAGGGGCCCAGTGCTGGCCTCAGCCTCAGCTAGATCCGCACGTTGCACATGGAGCAGCTCTTGGCTGCGATGCTGGTCTGGCTCTGGCTTTCCACACCAACAAGGGAGATTTGAATGCAACATTTACCCTGTAATCATCTGGCTTCGGAGCCTGCTTGGGAAGCACCTTTAGAGGGAGGAAAGCTGCTTCTGCTGCCCACCACAGATCCGCACCGTGCTGAGCCGGCTGCTGACTTTCCCGCACCCCCTGGGGACACAGCCAGGGCGGCACCGTCAGCAACAGGAGCAGGGAGGATGTGCGGCATTTGAAGGAGGCGATAACCCAACCTGCAGAAGTAATGGGGAATGCATTTGAATTACAAAGCACAAAGCCTTTTGCTTTGGGTAAAACTGTAATTAATATGAAATCAAGTTGTAATTAAAGGCTACTGTCTTGGAAAAAATCGAAACAAAAAGCCAAGTGTGTATGTGCACAGGGGAAATACAATTAAAAATTAAAGAAATGTGGAAAAAAAAATTACCAGGTTGGGAATGGTTGCAGAGCAGTACAGGTGGGTTAGACTTCCCAGCTCCCCGACACCGCTGGCACTGAATCAGGACATGTTGCAGCGAGACAGCCACAGAGTTGGGATAGAGGGCAGAGCCTTCCCCACCAGCCTGCAGCAGGGCTGCGTGCTGCACGCTCTGTACTGCTCGCTCTGTTTGTTTGTGAGTAATGCATTCACATGGGTTTCATCTGTCACATGCAAAACAATTTCCCTAAAAAGCCACAGGAACCTGAGATAAGCACGCAGAGCACTCGTGGGGTGGGATGCACCTACCCCACATCCCTTAGATGCTGCAATGAACTGAGGGCCATGAAGAGGGGTGTTTGACAAGGCAGATTGCTCTTGCTGCATGCTGGCCTCAGATGTGGCCAGAGCATGAGGAGCTTCCTAGTGTGTCTGTCTGACGTGCTGCCCCTGGCTCTGGACAGCAACGCTGAGCTCTCAGCTGCACCTCTCCACGTCCCCTCAGAGCATTTCTCATTTGGTTTGACCATCATGGTGATGGTTTCACCCCATTTTTTCTTCTTTGGTTAAACCAGAGACAAGTCCCTGACTGTGCCCAGCAGCACTCGCTGCTCCAAGACCTTCTGGTTCCTTGAAACACCCCAGCCAACTCCGAGTCATTTCAGCCCCTTTTCTGAGACTGAGAACTCCTGATGCATTCCCTACTGCTGCCCTCCACCCCGCTCTGGGGCAGAAGTGGGTCTGCAACATTGCTGTCTGCCAAGGAGGCACCAGGCTCCCAGGGCACAGACACTGGAAGAACTCCCCAGTCCCCTTATTCTCTGCGTGAATAAACAACTGGAGTACCCCAGAAGCCCCAGGTCCAGGTCTGACGCCCTGCCAGGGCCAGCTGTGCTGGGGGACCCCTTTGCAAAAGCACAAATGCCCTGGTTTGAGCTGGACCCTGCTCTCACAGCTAGTCCTGCTGCCGAGCACCACTGGGCTCTGCCAGATCTGCACTGCTGCAGGAGGAGAGTGACACACCACAGCAGGCTGAAGAGGCAGACAGATGAAATCACAGAGTTTGTTAAAGCTTCTTTTCCTTTCTTGAGTCTCCTTCATTAATATTTTAATTAAAACCAATTCTCTGTGCAGACTGCATTAACTCAGTGTACCTCACAGATAACAAAGTGAAGGATTAAAAGTGAGCACAGCTCTTGGCACAGCAGTGTAACAGTGAGGCCAGAGAGACCTCCAGCAGTAGTAATAAGAGAGACCCTTGCTGTTCCATTCCCTCTGTAGGCAATGGCTCTGCTACCGGGCTCTCCACAGTGAGCCAGGGGTGCTTGGGGAAGACAGGGCAGGAGACATCCCAGTGCCATAAGCCCCCCAAGTTCCTGGGACATGTCCTGGAGGTGGGAGCTCAACTGAGACCCCTGAACTGCACAGTGCTGACCGCAGAGCTCAGGGACAAGCAGCTTCCCCTCCCTGTCCCATCCTACACTCTCTGTTTGTACCTTGCTGAATAATTCCTTTTCTCCTTCCCTGCTTATCTCCAGGATGTTCACAGGCAAATTCTTCCCTTCCCTTCCTTTTTCCCTTCCCTTCCTGATGCAAATATTTAATTCCATTGTAGATGAGTCCTCTTTCCGGCTTCTTAATCAAGTTAATTACTGGCTCTAACCTCCGTCTGCTCCCCTCAATTCCCTCTTATTGACCCCCAAGTACTCCCTCGCCCCTTGGAGTTTGCTTCCCCTGGCTGTGCTTTCCCAGGGACAACACAGAGGTGCCAGGTCCCACAGCCCTGCTCCTTCAGCTGCTACCACCTCATCTCCATGCCTCTGCACAGGTCACCCACTTTCAGCATATGTGCCCCCCACCACAGGGTTGCTGTGGAGCAGGGTTTGGTTTGCTTTGCCAGCTCAGAGCTCTCCAGCGAGCACCAGAGCTCACTGAGCCACTGGCTGCAGAGGAAACAAACGCTCCCTCTTTTGATGTGCCCCTCCAAAACCTGGGCTACCACAAGCTTGAGGGTGGATTGGGGACTTAAAGCGATTCAGAAACGTGATTCTGGAAAGGGTTTCACTTGCGGTCTCCAAGCCACGATTTGGTGCTGTGGTGACTTCCAGCAGCTTCCCTGGCATGGCAGCAGGACCCAGAGTCTCTCGCCAGCACTGCCGGGAAGGGTTTTCTCCAGGAAGGGATTTCTCTGGCTCCCGGCAGTGAGTGCTGCTGACTCATGTGCTCCTGGGGCCAGCACTGCAATAAAACCATCCCACGGCCAATGCCAGCACAACAACTCCAACTTCTGCAAACAGCAGCAACAGGGAGCACCCTGGGGTTGTTCACCTGCCCATACCCTGCCATCCTTCTCCAAACAACTTACCACCTCATGCTCCCAGCACTCTGCAGGGCATGCTAACAGCAGCCAGCCAGCAACACTTCACCTTCAGGAAGGATCAGAGGAGAGGTAACCAGGCAAAATCCCTGTGGGAATTCCATGCTGCTCCCTCTGCAGCCCTTAAGGCCTTCAGCAATACCTGACTGCATGTGGCTGGTGATTTGTCTCCTTGGGAATTCCAGCCTCCTCTTGTCCCCTTCTCAGCACACAGCACCCTTGCTCCCAAGGAAGCAGGACTACATGGGGGCTGTTTCACCACGCAAGCTGTCTGCAAGGATGGTGTAGACATCTTTAGCTAAAAAAAAAAGGGATATAGCTAAAATACAGTTAAAAAAAGGGACTTATGTTATCATAGAATCACAGAATGGTTTAGGTTTGGAAGGGACCTTAAAGCTCTTCCAGTTCCAACCCCTGCCACAGGCAGGGACACCTTCCACTATACCAGGTTGCTCAAAGTACACACAGTTAAACAACTGGTATTTGTGTCACTATGGAAAAGCTTGAACAGATAATGGACCTCCTAAAAGGTCAGGATGACCTGGGAACAATACTGACTAACAAAGAGCATTGTCAGCTGGGGAGGAGGCTTTGGCCATGCATAGGCAGTTTAAGAAACAGGGCTAATGAATCTCAGAAAGAACTATCATTGCAGATGGTACATCCTGAAAAAACATGGACATTGTTAAGGCATGGCTTTGATGGTCAGCACAACATTAGGGTGTCTTTTAGATGAACTGTTCTCAATATAATAATAAACATCACACCTTCAAGTCAAAAGACCCAAGCCCGGGTTAAAAGACCCAAACCCGGGTTAAAAGACCTTTTCCTGATTATGCATAGTAAGGAATCAATTATGTAACTGCAGGAAAATTAATTGTCAAGTTGTTAAATGGTTGGAGGGTTACAGGGACTTACTAACCTGAGCTGAACTGTATAAATAGGTGAAATTATGGTAGGAGTACTAGCTCTGTGGGATACCACCCAGCACCCTTTTTGTGTGAACCTGGCACAAACAAATACCTTGTGTCTGCTGCACACAGGGCAACGGGTCCTGTGCTCAGGATAACCAGGACACCCCAGGAGCAGGGAAACGCTGTGTCTGACAGCGCTGGTCCTGGGAATGCTGCATCAGAAAGTGGTCTGAGGCACGGAAGGATGTCCCCAGCCCTTGTGGCCTGGACCGGGCAGCCCGGGGGGGTTCCTGTCTGTCGCTGCTATGCTTAAGCCCCTCACAAGCAGGCAGCTTCCCCTCAGGGCCTGTGAGGGAAAAGTCCTTCTCCTGGCCGCCATGTCATGGCTGCAGCCTGAGCTACCCCTGCACCACACACACTGCCACAAACAGCCGCTGTGGAGAGCATTCCCCTCTGACCATGCCCTCTACCAGCGTCTTCCCCCTCAGCCGGGGTGGCCCCACGGCCTGACACAGCAGCTACCCGCGGCCATCCACACCGACCGCCCTCCCCAAAATGGCAGCCGCCGCCTCCGCCACTACCAACATGGCGGACGGGGGGGCGGGTCCACGCCGCGCTTCCAACCAATGGGCAGCGGCGGCCTCCGCCAGGGGCAGCCAATGGCGGCGCAGAGCGGGCGGGTTTGTTTGGCGGGAAGCGGCGGTGTCGCTGTCATGGCGGGCCCTGGCTGCGGGACGTGGCGGGCCCTGCTGGGTAGGTGCGGGCTGAGGCGGCCCCGGGGCTGCGCTGGGGGATGTCTTGTCCCGGTGCCTCCTGCAGGGACAGCGGAGGGGAAGGGAGGATTGAATGTCCCCTCTCTGCCTTCATACACCCCTCATCCTCCAGGCTCCGCGGTGCTCTGGGCTGCTGGCAGCCCCTCACCTCACCTCGCCTCAGCTCCTTCTCACCCCTGCTCCAAAACCTGGTGGCCCTGACGCGGGTACTGCCCTAGGGTGGTGTTGTCAGGGCACCGCTGTGGATGCTTTGTGCCAAGGGCCTTTGCAGGCTGACAGTGCCTGACACGGGCTGCTCGTGGTGAAAGGCCGTGGGGCTTTGTCTGCAGAGCTGCCCGTCGAACCATACCCAAACATCCCGTGCTGCTCCTGGCATGCTGCTGGATAATGCCAGTCAGCCTGGGCCTGCCTTTGCCCTCTCAGTGGTGTGTGCTATGGCAGCAAAGAGAGGGAGGTGTCCTCAGGGGGGCTGCCAGAGCAAGCTAGGGTTATAAAATAAACCCAACTTCTCAGCAGGGAGAGCCAGGAAACGGAAAAGTGCCTTTGGAAGCCCAGCAGAGCTTCAGGAAGCAGCGCTGCGCCTTCTGGATCACCATCAGAACCTGAATGACTTCCTCCTGGAGGTAGGAGTGGGGTGGTTTGGGGTGTAGAGGTCAGGCTGGGGGATGGTGGGAGATCCCAGTTGGAGGTGTTCTTCCTAGGGCAGCTGTAGAGTGGATGCCCTGGAAGCACCGTTCTCATGATACATGGAAAGAAAAAAACAGAAAAAACAGAGATTGTTATTTTATTTTTCCTTGATTCTTCTGTATTTTATTGTTACAGACTAAAAATGGTTAGGCATGGTTTGGATTTGTGAGAGGAAAAATCCAGCCCCTTTTCCTTGGGGTCAGAACTGGCTTCTTATGAGGATAGGAAGAAATCAAGAGAGACTTGGGTTTCCTCTGAATTGCCAATTACTTTCAACTAATGTGACTGTCTTTACGAAAACCTGTGTAATCTGCCTGTACAGACACATGAGCCAGTATTCTGAGTTGGCCACATTCTACCCTCTTCTCATCCACTGGAGAAAGCTTTTTCTGTAACTGCAATAGCCAGCTCCAGTACTTGCCATAGTTCAGCCACAAGGATGTTTCTTTCTCTAGAGATCGTTTGTCTATATAAAAAGAGCATTTACCTAGAGTAGGATCCAACGTTTTGACGTGTTTCACCAAATATTTATGGCAGTGTGGCTTCACAGAAGGGACTTGAAAGATAGAAATTCTGTTCCTGGTGCTGCTGCTGATGTGTTGGGTGACCTGTATCCTTTTCTTTGCATAAAATGATAATAACTATACATATGTCTCCTGTAAGGTGCCTTGAAATCTCTGCTTTACCATAACCATATGGGAGCTTGGGAGTGTTAATTTCACTTCAGTTGCACCAGCCCCCAGGAGTGCTAGAGCTTTGGAAAGTGTAGGTATGTAAATGTGTGTAACAGACATCTAAGACTGTTAGGATTTTGGGTTGCAGGTGCAAGATTCAGTCAAGCCAGCTGGAGAGGATGGCCCAGAGCACCAGGAAACACCATCAGAATCATTTTTAGGTGAGTGAAAGAGTATCTATTGGAGACAGATGTGGAAAAAAGCTTTCTTCATGTAATGAATTTTTGTCCGTTAAATGTGATACCAGTTTTACTTTCTTTTCATTGTTCTGGTGTCCCACCCAGCTGCTTTTTATTTGTTTTTCCACATGATTTTTACAGGTAATTTTTTGCCTTTTTTTGTTGGAGCTGCATGTTGCAAGCATGACAGCCTCTGTAAACAAAAGGTACAGATAAAATCATGTTATTCAGCACTGACCAAGTATTTTGAATGTTATCATTTGATACAAACAATGCATCTTGATAAGCAAAACAAATGGTACAATCTGACCTGCTGTGGAAGGGAAACTATTGGAAGAGAAACCTGATGGGTTAATGGTTGGACTCTGTGATCTTAAAGGTCCTTTCCAACCTAAACGATGCTATGATTCTACATGTCTCTTACTTGTTTGGTGATGGCACCCCACGGAGTATTATGGTTTGATTTGAAAGTGTTACTGTGAGCCTCATGAGACTAAAACACAGAAATCTGTTTCACAAGGGTGTTCCACCTCTGTGGTTGTTCTGCATCTGTTTTATGTGCAGTAAATGAATGATACCTGCAAATGAAAGTGACTTGCCCAGTGAAACAAATGACATCTGTGCTGGAAGATGTTTAAGACTTAGGACTTCTGTCTTCACAGTCATGTTTTCAAGCTTTTTTTTCTCCCATACTGACAGCTTTCTGGTTTGTTGTTTTTTTTTTTTTTTCTTTTCTTTTGTGTTTTTTTTCCTAGTCTCTGTTCTGCGGGAACAGGCCTCAAGGTTGGGTGTGCCCACAGCAATACTGGCAGCCAAAAATGTGGTTACCAACATCGAACGGATCTGCCAGCCTTCTGCAAGCCCCTCTACAGTCCCACTGCTGAACTTGGACCAGAGAGTAAGGGAAAAGGTTTACATTTAGTTTATCAAGAAAACAGTAATGTTAGGTTTAACTTTAAACCTAGTTTATCTATTCTGGTAAAGTCACCCAAACATATAGGTGTTACTGATGTCAGCCAGATTGCCTTCAGTTCAGCCTTAAAATGAAAACTTTGGGCCTTTCCTATGAATTTTCTTAATTATTCAACCCTTTAGAAAGCAGTAAACAGGGAAAAGCCACAAATTTGATTTTCTAAGACTGTGTTATTTACAAAGGAAATTATTTCTGCTTCATTTCTGGGGTGCTTCCAGAAAAAGTTGTCTTCCTTGCTTCAATCAGTCAAGGATTTGCTGGCGAACAATGTGTTCTCTCGCTCTTTCTTCTGTCAAGAAATGTGGAAAATGAAGGTAAGAGAAATGTTGCTGTGTTACAGACCATTTAGACTTCACCTGTGGAACGTGGTAGTGTGTTTTCACCCCATCTCTCCCATGATGGTCATGGATAACTGTTAAATGGACTAGTGAAGTGCTGTAAATTCTGTTCAGGTTCCCTTGGCGCGTTTTTTGGTGATCTAGAGCAGTCTTACCACTGCTCAACCCTGCTCTGCTTGACTGCAGTCATGAACTCCTCCTGAGGATGACTGTGGTCTTTCTGAACTTTCAAAAGCATGAACTGAATTATGGTGGGTTTTTTCTTTGTTTTTTTTATTATTTTAAAGCAAGTTCATTGCCCCTGTAGCACGATTTGCTCCTTTGAAGAGGACTTAGTAGAGGGGGAGATGTTGAACTGTTTCCATTTGTCCTTGGCACAGCTGGTCCTCACCAGGAACCAGCTAGGGAAGGGCATGGCACTTCAGTGCCTGGAGTTACAGCACGGGTGACGGGATTAAACTCATCTGAAGTGACACTGCAGTTAGACACTGTGGGTGGTATAATTTTCTTCCCTGTTTAGCTTTGCTGCCCTGCTGCTACCACTGAAGTACTCATCAGTTGACACATAGGTTTGCTGTGTGGGCTAAGCAATCTGGGTCAATTAACCAAGCAGTGCAGAACCTCCCAGCTGGCTGTGCAGTGGCAAGGCCCCAAAAGTCCTTTATGTGTTTTGCCAGCAGTATTCAGTGGTATTCTGGTTTATCCCTCCATTTATGTGGGATTGGTGATAAGCCCAAGTGAGTTCATGGAGAAAATGGCTTGAGAGAAAAAGGATAGGGGATAACAGGTCATGTTGCTTTACAAATGTGTTGTCTTGATTTCATCTGGGTGGTTTGTTTTCTTAAGATAAGTGATGCTCTCAGAAGAGTTGAGGATGTTTTGTGAGTGGGGCAGTTCTGATTGCTCACTGCTCTGGTGGGAAACAAGGAAGAGGCTGATCTGCCAGGATAAAGAGGCATGCACCAGTCTCAAATATCCCATCCTGGGCTGAAAATAGAATTCTGTGTGTTCTGTAGGCTGATCAAGATCTCCTTGTTCTCAGGTAGACATGGAGATCAAGTGCTGCTGTGTAATTGAGATTGTTACAGTAAAGAATTAGGTTGTCAAAGGCAAAGTATGTGGGTGAGTCCAGGGTCATGCTGAGAGGCAGCTGCTACTCACTGCAGTAAACTCCTGGGTTTTGCCTTTACTTCTGAATGGCCTGTGTGCCCAAAACTCCCAGGTACCTCTTCCTTCATGAGGTGTGAAAGCTTTGTTTCTGTCTGGGAGTGTTTCTATCTAGAGCCCATGTGATGTTTATTTTACCTCTGTGTCCATCAGCCTCTCAGCCCGAATGATTGTAGTGTCTCTTTGTATAGTCTCCTATTGAGAAATGGATTTGAAAGCATTGGACTTGCTTTGCAGAGGCTAATAAACAGTTACTACACCACGTGACGTTCTCTAATCTCTTTCTGGATCCGAATTAAGAAGACTTGAAACTTAGTGGTGTTACCAGTTTTGTGGGGTGTCCATTGCTCCTCTGCATATGCAGAATCAGCATTATTTTGAGGGACAATGATGGATCTATTTATTACTTTGACCATGAAAATTTAAAGTGGTAAAGCACCTTCAGCCTAAAAACATTTAAAATTTGTAGGAAGGAAAAATCAAACATAATTTTTCCTCAGCTGGTATTTCCTATGTTGTCATTTTCAAATTTCAGTAAGTTCTGGATAGTTTGAATAAAGTGAATTTATCTTTATTTTTAATATATAATTTCTATTAGACAAATATTAACTGCAAAATGCA